AAAGACGTTCTGTCCTGCCTGAAGTGGCAAGTGCCGTTTTGATTAAACTGGTTGGAGGGTTAAGCTGTCTCGTTAAATGTATTTCTTATCCGCTGAGAGAAAAAAATGGGGGGAGGAGTGAGGATGAAGATGGGAGTTGAATGGGTAGGGTTGGGGTGGTGTTAGTTAAGGGTGGGGGAAGGGGGGACGGGTTTGGGGTTGAGGTTGATAGGACACCAGGGTTGAGGGGTGGTAGGTAGTTGGGGTTGAAGGGTGAAAGGGGGTGGGGTTGAAGGGTGAAAGGGGTGGGGTTTGAGGGGTGATAGGGGTGAGGGATAAGGGGTGAAATGATTGGAGTGGGGATTGAAGGGTAAAATGATAGGGGAGGGGGGGGGTTGAAGGGTGATGGGGGTAGGCGTTGAGGAGTGATAGGGGTTGGGGGTTGTGATAGGGGTTGGGGGTTGAAGGGTGATAGGGGTGGGGGTTGAGGAGGGTATGGTAGTAGGCGCGCTGCTGTGTTTTGCTTGTTATTATTTTCAGTGGCATGATCATCCACATCAGCTTGCCGTCTGCTGTTTGGCCGGCGGTGCAGTGCACCTCAACAAGAAGAACTATCACAACTACAACTACAACATCTATATCCTGTAATTTCTAAGCACCACCTTGCAATTTTCCCTGCCCAATCTGACAGCCCTTGCACGTGCTAATGTGTATCTCATAATATGCCCTAAAAGCAAGGAAGTCTTTGCACAATATGTAAACCAGAAAGTATCATAATGATATCAATTTTTCTTCCCTTCAACCCTGAAATATGTTTCTCAAAAAAACTCCTGTCGAAAAATTATACTTAACGACTGAAAGCTAACAGAATGGGTAAATGGGTATCTCTTTTGTCCATCCCATTTAAGCTCATCAAAGCATTATCATTTCAACAGAATTTGCATTTGCTCGTGCTTCATGTCTATCGCGTATTTGATTAACACCCCAATCACTTAGTTCTTCGTGTAGAATCGGTAATTCTAAAGGCCTAGCTGATTAATACAGTAAACATCTAGTTATGAAATGGCCAGCGGGATCAATAGGTGTTTGACACAGTGTCCCCGCTATAGGAGCGCCTGCAGTGGGGACGCCCCGGCATTAACGGCCCGCGGGTCGCACTGTGCCAATCAGAGAAAGATCGATGATCGATCTCGTGTCTGCTGAAGCGACCAAACGACTGTAATGCTGAGCAAAACAAAAGGTGAGCGATGATATTACAGACGTAGATCTCCGCCGGCTGCTGTTGGTGGTGTTCTATCAGGGAAAACAAGACGGTGCTAACTGCGTTGCTGGTGAAGGGTTTTGCGTTCGGATACATTCTTTGTGTTGCAGCTGGTGCGGGATTTTTTGTGTGTTTTATTTCATTGTTTTTGTTTTGTTTTTCTCTCTATGTCCCCGTGGGGGTGACAATAGCGTGCTGCCTTGTGTGAACTGGAGAAGTGAGGTACGAACCTTTGTGGAGTTTTGTAGGGAGATTGATGGTGGTATGTCTCCCTGCTCTGTGTTGTCTGCTCCCTTGTTTTGAGTGGGGGGGGGGGGTAGGACAAACACACAGAGAGAGAGAGAGACAGAGAGAGAGAGAGAGAGAGAGAGAGAGAGAGAGAGAGAGAGAGAGAGAGAGAGAGAGAGAGAGCTTCTCAAAAAGTGCCGCGGATTTGTGACGTGCGCCGTCTGTGATTGTCGACGTCACCGATGGCGAGATTCTCACAAAGTGTCCGCTATAATTGTATGGTGCGGTATAATCAGTGTTCCAGACATCAAGGGTGAAAAAAAATTGGCTTATTACAAAACTGTGCTTTCTTATTTCTCAAATGAATCTCTTGGAATTATACTTCTTTGGAAAAAGAGTTCGACCATTTTAAACTCTAAGTTTCGGATTCTCAGAGACGGATTCATTAAAACAGGAGGAAATTGTTTTATAATTCAAGTAACGTAGCTAGCTTTTTTAAGCGTCCGTTAACTTATATGTTTATCTCTTTATAAATTAATAAATGAGATTGAGAAACATTAACACTCATTTTTCCGGTTCAGAAAATTAATTTTGGTAAAGCTAAAGTTTGGTCTGAATGGTACCATTCACTCATTTAAATTCTAAAGTACTTCTGTTATGAGATTATTCGTGTGCCGCTCAAGCCCTGTACGAGCACGACATTCCAAACGTATCATGCTGTCTCGGAAAGTTTCAGATATGTGGACTGTGTTAGGTGGCGGAGTGAAAATAAAGAGAAAAAAAAATATATATCAGAAATTTTTTTTAACTTAAAATTTCAGTGTTGTCATTTAAAAAGTGTAAAAACATTAATTGGACCGTATTTTAAGAGAGTGTATTATCCACACACTAGTGCTGCTTGAGAAAGGGCTGGGGTGACATTCGTATTCTGTTATTTTTAAAGACATAAAAATTGAGTTACAAAGGCAGAGGGTAAACATTGTTTTGGTGCACTGTGGTTATTTTCAGTGTCTCTCAGATTATACATTCCGTAATACGGATGACATTGGTTCGAATCTCCAATTAACTTTAATTGCGTGGGGAGTTTTTCATTTGACCATGTCCCGTCAGAGATAGACGTTGAAATCGGAGGTCCGGCCTCTTAAATAATCTTACTGTGTTGAGGGGGGGGGGGGGGGCGTTAAACCTGTATAACTACCAACTGCTAGAAAATAATGGAGTTATTTTTGTTTAGTTTTGGTTTGTTTTGGGGTTTTTCAACAAGGACTCGTGTTTCTTAGGTACAGTGTACAGTGAGTTATGTACTTCCATTGCATTGCGCTCGTAGGTCCAGTTTTCTTCCCGTCTGTTGTTTCTGTCTCTCTTCCTTGCTTTCAAATCACCAAAAAAACGCTATCTTGCCGATGTGATTTTTTTTTACTGAGGCTTTACACAAACCTCCCTGACCAGAAGTAGACGAAGTACTAGTATTCATACAGTTATCGGTGGTGTTTGTTTTTGTTTTTGTTTTTGTTTTTGTTTTTTTATTTTTTGTTGTTGTTATTGTTGTTGTTGTTGTTGTTGTTTTTGTGGGGGGAGGGTTGGGGTGAGAGGGTATTGTTTGTTGTGTTTTTTTCTGGTTCATCTTTGGAGAGGGAACGTTTGTTGTTGTTGTTGTTTTAAGAAGTGAGCATCGGAAGAGAAAAAAGGAGGAAAGGCGCAGAAGGGACGAGGGTTATTAAAATTGTCCTGAATAATCCTCTGCAACTAGAAATTTTGTTGACTTGAGATGCTCAGTGCTGTGTACAATAAGAATGAAAGAAAGAGCACAACAGTGTAACTTGCCGGTGTGTTTAGAAGGACAATATTATTATAAACGTGTTCACTTGATCTGCTTTTAAGATGAAAGAGTGTTTTTAAAATTATATTTTGTGAAACTCATACTGTTCTAAGGATACCAGAACCATACATATTTCGTGTCCCGCTGATCTAGAGGTGACGAAAAAAAAAGAAAGAAAGATCATGAGACTCGCGACTATTGTGCTGAAGGCTGTTTAAGTGTGTTTTCTTGATGCTTTGAAGAAGAAGAAGAAGAAGAAGAAGAAGAAGAAGAAGAAGAAGAAGAAGAAGAAGGAGAAGAAGAAGAAGAAGAAGAAGAAGAAGAAGAAGATGGAGCAGTGGACTCAGACCTCCATGAAGAGTGGCTACAGCAGTAGTACCGGGACAGACGTCACCAATCAGAAAAACGGCTTCACGTACAAACTGACGCCGCATACTACACAGCCTCGCGGCCATGCCACGTCACATTCCACAGCAGCAACAGCAGACAGAACATGGGCCGCCCCACGCCACGACGCCGACCAACTCTTCAGCCCCCGCGGCAGCCATTACAGTCACGTCACGCGCCCCCCACCGATTCCGCTTCAAATTGGAATCCGGTCCAAAACGGATTTCCCTTTGAGGGACAAACAGAGAAAGACAACGAGGGGTTTCCGTAGTAAAATTCCCCATGGTGACGTCATGAGTACCTCAGATGCCCAGTCTACGACTGTCCTCAGCAAACTGACCCTGACTGGTGATGCTGTCGCTGCTCTCTCCTCTCCTGGTCGTGAGGTCAGTACCAAGGCGGAAGAAATTGGGTCGCGGTCAAATTCCAATAGAGGCTTTTTGAGTGCTCCTGCGGCAAAAGCTGGACATCGACGTCATGGTCCTAACGGTGCCCACAATGGGGGGAGACGGTGTGATGCCTGTACCATTGAGTCCGTGCGTTTGCAGGTTTGTACAATCCTGGTTTTTTTGTGCCTGGGTTTTGTGGGGGGGTCGTGTGTTTCTCATACCAGGCGAAGAGTCTAGCCATTATTACTCCACAGACACTTTTAGGACCCCCAAGGGATCTTTAATACATGCAAGTTGCACACGTTAATGATCTCTTGGTGGTCCTAAAATCGATAAGAGTAGGCTTCGGCCACCACCTGGGAAAAATTCAAAATTTCCTACTAACTGAAAAAGGTTTAATATGTCCCGCGCGCTCATATGATCTTAAGCAGTTGCGAGCGCCGTAAAACACTTACCAAAAAAAACCGCTCATCCACAAAGCGTGGCTATTTCTTCATCACACACAACAGTGTCTGAATTCATTACTCTTGTATGATCAGTGGCGATGCGTCTATACACAGTTGAGCGCAACTGACTAAGTTAAAATCAAGGTCAACTGAATGCTGTATGCGGCACAGTGAGTCGAACAAAAATCTCAAACCATCACAGAGTCTAGATCAAACAAACTACATATTATATAGCATTCTGTCGGCCCTAAAACAGTTACCAGAAATTCCTAGGGGCTCTTATGTCTTTTTCTTTCAAGTATAATTCTATCTTATTATGTGTGCATGTTTGTATGTCTTTCTATCTGTCCATCTATCAATCTATCTATCTATCTATCTATCTATCTCTATCTACCAACCTACCTGCCTATATAACTATCTATCTATCTATTTATCTACCCATTCTTCCATCCATCCACCCACTCACCCATCCATTCATCTATCATCCCCAGTTACAAAAACCACCAGGCAAACAGAGAAAGCCGTACCCAGACTCCGACCTGGAGAGCCTCAGCAGTGTCAAGTCCGGGGCCCCCGTGGACTACCCGATCCGCAAGAAGGACAGGACGTGTAGCCGACAGGGTCGTCTCCAAGCCAAGGAGGAGTCTCGGCGAGAAGGGGCGCACCCGTTCTACGAACCCCTACAGTTGTTGAAGACACACGGCGGGACAGAGGTTGGGTTTGTTTGTTTGTTCGTTTGTTCGTTTGTTTGTTCGTTTGTTTGTTTGTTTGTTTGTTTGTTTGTTTGTTTGTTTGTTTGAGTAAAGAGATGCACATCGACACAATAATGGTCATTTAGTTTAGTGCTGGGAAAAGTAAGACAGACAGACAGAAATAACAAAGAAGTTGGACCTGCCAGTGGCGAACTCCAACCATTCGCCCCCAGAGGTTGGATTTAAGTAAAGGAGACTTTTTTGTTGATTAATTGTTGTGATTTATTTTTCTGATCGTGTGAAAGTTTTGTTTGTTTGTTTGGGGGGATTTTGTTGTGGGGGAGGGGGTCTCTGTATGTGAGTGTATTTATTTGTTTGTTTCTGTCTGTGCTTCTTCGATCGTTTTATTTGAGGCTCACGGGTGATTAAATGGTGCCACTGGTAGGTCCTGCTTCCTTATCACTCTATCTTCCTTCTTTTATTTCTTTCGGTCTGTCTTGTGGCGTTTTTCCTCAGTCCAAGATTACCGCAAATTTTCGACGAGAAAAGTGGTAGTCTTAGACAGGAGGCCATCTTGAACAGTAACATAATAATTTTAACATAGTAAAGAAAACGCAAGGGAGGAAGTGGACAGTGGCCTTTTGTACAGCTGATTGTTTTGGACAGGTGGTCGTTAGAACAAGTTCGATTGCAATCGTAGTAATAGTGTTAATAATGATATGTTTCCCTTTACTCAATCTCAAACTACACAGTCGAACCCTCGTTGACGACCACCTGTCCAAAACAGTCACCTGTACTAAAGGGTACTACTTCTTCTTTCCTTCCTTCCTCTGGCTGGCCTCCGTTAGGAAGGCGGCAGTCTGCCGCAGGCAGACAGGTAAGCGGCAACCTCTTGTGGCCTCGTTCAGGGTACGTCTGGGCCCGGTCTCGCGTTGTTCTCCAAAAGTGGGCCTCGATGTGCTTCCCCCCGCGGGCACTCATACAGTGCATGCTGCAGGTCGTCAGGACTTGTGCCACACGCCAGACAGGAATCATTGGGAGTGGAGCCTATTGCATGGAGATACGTCTGCAGGATGGGGCTCTTCGCGTCGCATCTCAGCTGTGATAACACTCTTCTCTGTCTGACGGTAAGGTCTCTTCTCTTTGTCCCTCTCCGGTGGTGGCTTCACCTTTCCCCCGACAGAGTCGTGCACTCGTGCTTTCTCCCATGCGTGGGCAATGATGTAACGCGAGATGCACGAGCTGGCTGACGCGATATCGACTGGAGTGTTGGACTGGTCGAGGCGGCCTCCCTTGTTGGCCAGGGCGTCAGCTCGGTCGTTCCCGTGGATGTCGCAATGTCCTGGTATCCATGGTATGTGAAGGTGTCCGTGGATTTCACAGCAGTGGCAGATAGTGATCGACATTTTGTCCTCTACCTCAGTACGTACTGCAGTCACTCCGGACATTAAGTGTTGAACAACTGACAAGGAGTCTGTGCAGATGTGGATTCTTTGAAAACGTGGTTGTTTTTCGAGCCATTGCAGGGCACGGAGCAGGGCACTTCTCACTTCGCCCTTTGCATTTTTTTCTACATCATGACACTGTACATGGAGAATGTCCACCTGTCTAAGAAACCACTTTTCCCCAGTATAGAAAACAAAACCTGCCAACAACTAAAACATTAACATGCATGATATAATTGTATTTCTCCTCCTCCTCCTCCTCCTCCCCCTCCTCCTCCTCCCTCTTCTTTTTCTTCTTCTTCTTCTTCTTCTTCTTCTTCTTCTTCTTCTTC